AAGGCCACATTAAGAAGGAGACATTGCAGCCTAACTTTCAGTCCTCCATCTCGCATACGCACACACATACACACGCGTACAAGAGGAACAGCAACGTAGGTGGCCCGAGTTTTTCCGTCAGTTGGAAAACTCTCCAAGCCACGGCTTTTAGCGCACCGTGATAGATTCAAGTGCATCTGATTTATTCTAGCGAGGAAGCGTGCTGAGGGTCGCTCACTCTCTCTCCTACCGTCCAACAACCGCCTAGCTTCTTGGTCACCTGCGGTGGGGCCTGAAACCCAGTGGGAGCGCAAACGCCTACACCGACAGGGAATCAGAACCGAGAGAAAAGTGCCAGGGCACAGGGACCGTGGTTTGCCGAAGTCTGGCATTGCATATGCATACAGACCTTGGATCTCAGAGGGGTGAGGGCAGCCCTGCACGAAGCCTGGGCCAACACCGTTCTGATACGGGGTAATCATTCAGTCATCGACTGAGAGGCACTACCTGTGCTCCGTTGTCGGTTGGCGTCCGTGGGTGGGGTTGTCATCTGATATCATACACTGACACAAACAAAGTACTTGATGTTTGTCACTAGTTGTACATGGGACATGTTGGAGGGATTCAAACGAAAACAACCCGAGTACTTACGGTGTTCTTGAGTGCGCACCTCCACCGAGGCGAATGCTCCGTAGCCATTCACCGTGCGACCAGCCAACCTCAGGTGATATGGCATGCCGGGTTTTAGATCTCTCAGCACAAACTGTGTTGCATCCGCTTTGATTGTTCGCATCTGTTCACCCGAGGGGGCTGTAGGCGCAGGAGAAGACGACATTGCTTGCTCCCGAGCCTCCTTACTGTCCGCTTCGAGTGGCGTGCTGGAAGCGCTGTACCAGAGTCCGTATTCCAGTAAGATGTGACCCTCTGGGACTTCCGGGGGTGACCACATCAGCTGAATGGAGTCGGCCTCAATAGCGAATCCTCGAAAATTACGCGGCTGACCGGGAACTGCAGACAGAATGAATGTCGATAAGTAAATTCCGAATTAAAAAAAGGAGATTGGGAATGTGCTGAAAGAAGCGTGTCTATTATTCTGAGCTTTTCAACTCAGGGGGGTAGCAACAGCGGAAATGCCACACTTATGGGGTAAAAGCTAATGAATGTTTTGGGACGGCCCGGGGGCGAGTTATCACTCGGGGCTATCCTGAGGGTACCAGAACAAAAGGACCTTACTGGCGACCGGTTCATGCAGTTACAAGCGACCTTCAGAGGGCGGACATTAGGCCAGGAGAAAGGAGGCGCGCGCAAGCGAGACTGCCCCGCGGCCGGGTTGCGGCTATCGG